AGAGAGAGAGAGAGAGAGAGAGAGAGAGAGAAGAGTAGGGGAACAAGTGGATTAGGCCACACTGTTGTACGTCTGCACTTTCTAAGGCTAGGACTATTGCGAAGCAAAACACTGGGTAAGCATATTTTCCATTAGGAGGGCACTGACAAGAGGGAATCAGCCGTGGCGTAGTGAGGCTATTAGCGGTATATGCTCATGTCGGACAAAACTTGTTTCTTTTTGTTGAAAACTGCTTTTTAAACCCACGTGGATTTAGGAGAGTGAACTCCGTTTTGAATCGTCGAGTTATCGAAGAACATGTGGATCTCGTTGTCATCGAAGGCATGGGGCGCGCCTTGCATACAAATCTTCATGCACAGTTCGTTTGTGACTCGCTAAAGGCAAGTGGATTTCCAATATTATAGCGGAAAGTATTAACCTGTATATATATTCATCATGCAAATGCATTAGTACCCATTAAATTGGGTGACAGTTGCAAATTCTCAAGCATTGGCTATAGGCTCGGTCGCACTGGTGCAGGGTGTATGAGCGGAACACCCTCTTCCTAACTCTGTCCTGTCATTCCAGATCAGCCCAGCTGAACTAACATTACTGGTTGGGGTTATAGTACCAGCAGAAAGCTGGCGAGCTCGAGCTGCAAAACTGATTGTCATGAGAGCATAGTGCAGTGGAAAATGAGCCAAAACGCGGCGCAGTGAGCAGTGCAGTGTAGTATTAGGTACAGTCTTGTTTGCTGAGGCTTATGGGGTGGGGGCTGGGTTTGGCAGAGCACCAGCACGTTTTCCTTCTATCCTTGTCACTTCCCTATCATCAATAGTTGGAAGAGAACGGCCTGGGGCCGTGCCAACCCAGTTCCTGGTGCGTCGCAGCCAACATGACCATATGTTGGGCAGAAATCAGGAAAATTCGTGAATGTCTTGGATCAGCCTTGAATGCCAGTAGTGTTTCATAAGACCTACACGAAGATGACTAGATAGTACTACGGTTTTTCCCCCATTTGCGAATTCATTTCTTTTTCATTATACCCGATGCCGGCTGTAGCCAGAAGGAGTGGACAGTCATTTGGGTTCCTCTATATCGCCATCTTCGCAAGTCCAATAAAATGTTCTTTCTGCCACTGTCTGATATGCTTTCCGTTCGGCTAGTTACAGTGATATCGTCCCAATTAGTCGGGGCGGTTTCAAGAGGGATGGAATGAGCCCACTCCCGACGTTCCCGGCTCCGGTTGTTTTTTTCCTCAGTCGACTGCTATTCGATCAACATTGGTGGACCAGCGCGGCCGGAGGCGGGCTCCCTCACCTCTTGACACCGCCCCCGAGTGATTGCTACATCATCAAGTACATGCCCATACTAGTAAACTATAGTTCTGCTTTAGATGGTTTCAGTTCCTTTTGTAATCCTATTCTCCTAGACTCTAATCTGTAGCACAATTCTGCAGCCGTAGTGATTTGGCTGTTGGTTTCTAGCATGCCCAGAGCTTCGTGTTGTGATTCACCAAAATGACTGAAATGTGTTGCCAGATTTCGGCAGACGTATTTTGATCGATATTTTTAGCTTTTAAAGAAGTAAAGAAAACGAATTTAAGGCGGCTGTCATCAAAACCCAATGGTTGGCCGACCGTATGGGTGGTGAGATATTCTCAGTTGTTTTCAAATTTGAACGTGGTAGAGAGAACGGTTCTTCATCAGCAACGACAAAATCATTAAATCTCAGTGCTTAAATGCTTTCTTCTTGCCTATTTCCTCAAATCCCGTTTATTCGCTGTGATTACTGTGATATCGAGTGTTGTGATTGACATATCTTTCATAGATATCAGCATTAGCTCAGCCATAGGTGCGATCTAGTCGTTTGACCGTCGTTCTATGCTTTGATTATATAGATTATTAGGAGATTGTTATATATGATCGTTAAGACGAGAATATTTAGGATACAATCGATTCGTTTATCTCATTATCTGGTTCAAATATCTCATGGCTTTTTTTGAATGATTTTTTCGTCCTTTACAATCTCTCGTACATATGTATAGTTTTCCGTTGTTTCTGTCGCGAACGGTTTGAGATTTGAGTAGATCATTGCCACTGCGAGTGTTCAGTGCTGTTCATAGTTACCTATAATCATTTCCCCTGACTCTCCAAACTACTACAATTCTTTACTTGTATGAAGTGAGTGTAACTCACTCTTGTGACCGTTACGAGATTATGTGGTTGAGAAACTATAAATAGGGTATACATTCTTTTGTTTTAACCTGGTTTTTAAGGTTATGTATTTCCATCAGTGAGATAAGATAACGAGTATTAGAAGTGGATGGGTTTGCGGCAGTTTAGTAGATAGGTACAATGTACATGGAGGGCGTGGCTGCGTACTTTAGAACATGGCCTAGGATGCGCTGTCCGTGGGATATTTCCATTTGATACCAGTGTTGTGCTTTCTTGTGCTGCACAGAATCCCTCCAGAAGCGTAGCTTCAGCCACTTTCGAAGGAAGCTGCAGCCTCGGACTATCTATCTCTGGAATATGGCGTTTACATTGGTTCGTATGTACATGCGGTCTTGTTCGTTGCTTAGGAAGGGGCGTGTCGGACGGTATGGGTTTGGTGCGGCGCTACAACCGTTTCGCACTGGTCGCTGAAGAGAGAGAGCGACAAGACTGTGTCATATCGTTCGTATCAACCGTTTTCCACCAGGTGTTGCTGCTCATGCTCCAACAGCCGTTGGAGAGCGAGTTTGGCGTCGCGACGAACCATCCCGCACGCCCCTTCATCCGCAGCGAACGAGACTGAATGTGGTCAGGTTCGAGTGCTACATGCCTGTTGGCGCTTATTTTTTCCCAGGGTTTCTCACACTACTCCATTGGGTTGTCCTAATTAGTTATTTTGCCGATCAGCAATCTCATTTGGCACAGGGGAGATTGAAATCTCACAACTCACAGATGTTCGCGCCCGAGGGACATTTTAAATCTGCCAGCATGGATTCATAACATGTATTATACGTGAATAGCTTATGATGAGTTCTACTGATTCCCATGTAGTCTCTCCAGTCACCTCGATTTTCGTAATGCGGATTTGGTGGGATAAAGGTGGCGCTAAACTGGCGGGGGCACCAATTAAAGAACGAGAGGATTCAATGACAGGAACTTTATCCGATCCCTATAAGGGGTGCCGGCGGTAAAGTGACCGATAAAAGAAACAAGAACAAAGCGTAATAGTATACACTGTTGTTAGCTGCGTATGCTGGGACGTGTAAGGTGGGGAAGGGGGGGGGGGGAAGGAGGGTTGGCGCGGCGTCAACCCGTTCTCCACCAATCGCGGTCGCTTCACCTTTTTAAACTGATGAAGAATGGGTTGATGCTGGCCAAACTCAGCCTCCCTGACACGCTCCAGCATCAGCAGCGAAGAAGGCTGTAGACAACATAGGAATGTTGGGAATGGGTGCAGGGCAAGGTACAGAAATGCCGGGAAATGCTCGCTGAGAATGGGCCGCGATTGAATATAAGGAAGACAAAGCTCCTAATCGCAGGATTGTGCCCAACCAATGCTAGACTACCACGACGAACGTAGGGGTAGGTCGAGGACAAGAGGTGATTGAGAGGCGTAGTGATGGTCGAGTGCGCCAGCCTTTAAAGGATCGAATGTGTGCTGATTGAATCGAGTGGAGGGAGTCCTTCTGTACTGTCTCCAATCGGTGATGCCCTAGGACGCTCAAAATCCATGCATGACGGGCAGTGGTGAGTGAGATGTCCTGATGCTGGCCTGAATGGAAGAGCTACGAGAGGCACCTACACCCTCTCAAAATGAGGCTGTTGAGAGGCCCTTAGGAAGAAACCCGATAGGATGGGGTCAGAAACGAAAGTGTGAGGGAGTTAGTGGTACCTGTTGCAGACAGCCCCTCTCCAAGTTAAGACGCGAAAGCAGCGGTAGCGGCGACAATGGGAGGTGTTAAGAAGGCCTGAAGACCACCCGATAAGAGAATCATTGGACTTTAAAGTACAGAGCAAGTGGCCACGGGCAGCTTTGAAGGAAAAATGGAAGGGTTGTCTCCAAGAAGCCACTGAACTCAAGGCCACGGCAGGAGATTCCCGTAACAAGATAAGGTGGCGGCGTGTAAGAAAAGCAAAAGAGCCCGTGACGGCGCAGTATCAACGCTAGGGAGAAAATTTGATCTGTGAGGCAACGAGCTCTGCGCCTAAAATGCAGCGGCACCTATTTATAAGCCAAATACTCGCAGTGGCACCTATTTCGGTCATAATGAGCATTTACATTCACTACTATTTTGTAAATAGTTTTCTCTAGACTCTTGCTTGCTGACTGTTTTATCTTATCGCTTTCTGCGTTTTTCCCGTTCTCTCCATGGACACTGAAAGGTGATACCATCACACTTATTGCAGCGAATCCCCTTTCTGGTCATGGTACGGATTCGACACGAGGAAAAAGAGTTCTATCTTAGTTGGAAATTCATCACTAGTTTCTGCACACTATTACGATTACTCTATCCTCGATTCGAGTATGTGGCAATTCTTACCATTTGCACAATTATTGCCGCTGGAGGATGTAAGTGCTTTTATCACCCTTTTTGTTTACTACCTATTGTATTTTGCATATGTATATTACCAAATTCTCCTGTTTTATTATCAGAAATCCTTTAAACGAGGCCGAGATGGTGTACTGGCAAGTGTTAAGCATACTACCGCGTCCGATGCAGTAAAGTGATGCCGAACTCGTGGCAGTTCGGCGACGGGGAAGGGGGAGCAATTTGCACTTTTGCTAGTTCCCATCGGCGTGTTGGCCCATCTAGACGGCCTCTTTGCTCAAGCTTCACAAGAGTTAACAGGTTCCATCTTTGTGGGTCTTGTTAACTCTTGTGAAGCTCGGAATCGGAACTAGTGAAGGAACGAAAGTGCAAGATTCCCCCCTCCCGTCGCCGGACTGCGCCCCGGATCCGTCTGGTAGGATAAGAACACTGACTTCTACGTCGTGGCCCGCGAGTTATTGTATAGGCCACTTCGCATTCAGTCAGACTACGATCTTAAGTGGAGAGGGAATGTGTACCGCAACCTTTTTTATCTTTTGAACACTGCTGCTCTAGGATCGCGCTGAAGGTTTTCTAATAACTGTGCCTTGAGGAACTTTTGAAATTCTTGAGCATCGAACCTTATTCTGCAGTTCAATGAAAGTGAAA